CTATACTCTTTGTCTTGTATGTAAGTTTATCTGATTTGGGGAGGGGAAGCACAGAAATGGTGAGACAAAGGATGAACCAATTCAGCAGTGTGACCCACTGGACACTAGGTTGGAAATGAACTATACAACTTGGGAGGAGGAGGATCAGGAGGGGCAAAACTGGGAGAGAATGGGGGTGGTGGTGACACTGTTCAAAAGGAAATGTACTCATTACCTGACTTATGTAACTGTAACCCATTACAGTAAAATTAAAAAAATTAAAAAACCCATATGTCCTATAACCTAACTTCCCTACTTTTGTTTTTTAAGCATTCCACTTAAAGTATACCTTGTTATACTTGCGATTTTTATATTCAATATGCAGAAGAATCACTAGCTTATAAAAGAATGTGATAAAGGCTCATTAAATCAAATTGGCTTGGTACTTTTGACAGAGGGTAATCAGGTAATTGAGAACAGATTAAGATCTTGGATCTCCATTTCCTCCCCTCTTCTTAGAGGAAGAGTAGATGCCAGTGGCCCTTTGTCTTCTAGAATCTAATGTGGTTTGGGGTTGCCCTGGACTTCAAAGCCATGGCATTGATTAAAATGACAGATTGGTAAAGACAATTAAGTTTGTAATTAAGTTTGGTGTCACCTTGGGTTTGCGATTTTGCCCTTTGAGGAATGCTGGGTTCTCCTTTAATTGGAGAAGTTTGAGCCACAAAGGGTCAGAGACAAGGTAGGTCACTGGGAGTGGGAAGACTCTTACTTCTTTCAAAAAGTAGACTTTTCTGATGAGGGCATGTGGAAGGCCTATAAAACACCTGTTTTAGTGCTTTTACTGGATATTTTGCCCTTACTGCTCAATGCCAATGTAACAGGAATAAGAAACTATGTTCTGACAGTAAAAACATCCATTTGCGAGAGATGGTAAATTTATTGGGAACACTTCAGGGCTGAAGCATATTTGTAACTGTGAGATATGGCTTCAATTATTAATCATCATGATAAACCGAGGAGAAGTGACTCTGATGTGCTAGATTAATGGTTCTTGATTTTAGTACCCCAAACTGAAATCATCTTGTACAGGAAGACATTTGCAGGATTTTCAGTGATTCATCCCTGGCTATTTTAAAGCCCCAGAGCAGTGGCTTTTAATTACCAGAGATTTCATTTTACCTTCTTCTAGGGTTGTTATTTTTGAAATGTGGCAAGAATATTCAAATCACTACAACTCAAACACTTGGAACTAAAGTTAATCTCTAGCTGTGTTTAATCTCTTGGTCTCTCTATAGACCAGTGGGAAATGAAGAAGGAGAGGCATTAGTTTTTGAACACGTACTATATTTTAGGAATGTTAGCCAAACAGGATGATTCCCTTTCACGGATGAGAAATCTGAGACCTAGAGTAGTTAAATGTTTTTCCCAAGACTGCCACACTTGTAAGTCAGCCAGGATCCTAACCAGCCTGAATGACTGCCTCTTTCATAGAGATTTTCTCCTGGTTTTTCACTTATTTAAACCTCTACAGCAGATTTCTTCTCGTAGGTATTTACATTGGTGTTACAGTTATATAAAATTTAGCTTCTTCTTGTTAGACTATGTCCTTCTTAATGAATAGAATTGTGTCCTTATATTTCCAAAGCACTTGATCTAGTGTTTTCGTGTGTGTGTGTGTGTGTGTGCATGTATGTGTGCGTGTGCTTACCAGTAGTGGTGAGCTTGAACTTAGGGCTTGGACATTGTCTCTTAGCTTTATTACTCAGGGCTGGCCCTCTACTGCTTGCCTCTACTGCTCTGGCTTTTTGGTGGTTAATTGGAGATAAGAATCTAATAGACTTCCCTGCTTGGGCTGGCTTTGATTGAGATTCTCAGATCTCAGCCTTCGGAGTAGCTAGGATTATAGGTGTGGGCTATTGGTACCTGGATATATAATTTCCTTTGCACATAGTAGATGCTATATAAATATTTACTGAAAAATGTTAGTAACCTCATATTCCTTCCTCCTTGATATGGATGTAGGGTCAGAACTAGTTTTTCCTATAATAATGTTCATGGCTTAAGCTGAAATTTTTACAATTTTTCCTATAATACTGTTCATGGCTTAAACTGAGATTTTTACAATTTTTACATCTATCAATGTTTTCATTAAAATATACCAAGACAATAATAGGTTAGAAGTATAATTTCTTTTCTTAAAGTATAGGACAAAATATACAGCAGGAAAATAGACATAGCAAGGTGACTCTTAAGAAGAAAAGGTGACAATGTGTTTGTAATGTGGGTTAGAATGTCCTAATGCCTTAAGAAAGGATTAAAGCAGAATTGTAAAGTCTGAGGAGAGATGATTTTGAACTTGGAAGGATCAGGGAGGCATTCATGAAAAGAGAGGACATTTGACCTAGAACTTAGGAATATGAGTCTGTTTTGACAGATTTTAAGGGAAGGCACTCCAGGCACAGGAAAGAGTTTCAGAACAGTCATAGAAGCAGAAATGTCACAACTATGACTGGCTTAATATAACTGAAAGCAAGTCATGCTAAAGGTACTGAGAAAAACAGCACAAAGGAGGATGCTTTGGAATAAAGCTTGGCGGGAGCCTTGTACAAGATGATATTTAAGTTCCTTTTCCAATAATTTTGTGATCATGTAATTCTCCGAATGCCATGACCAAGCACTTGGGTTTTATTAAGTAAGCAATTGTGAGCTTCAAAAATATTTTCAGTTGTGACATTTTATCTTCATTTGATAGTCTTATAAGTGCCAAGAAGTGACACAATCAGAGCTGTGCTTTATAAACACAGATTTTTAGATTATTTTGACAGCATTATGTAGCACTGAAGTGGAAAGATACTGAAAGTTGGGAGGCTTTGCAATAATGTAGAGTAGAAAAATCACATAAATGATACTATTAGAAAATAGTATAGAGCTGACTGCTGGTGGCTCACACCTATCATCTGAGCTAACAAAGAGGATGAATGAAGATGAATATGGATGGCGGACACAGTTCACTGGCATGTATGAAGATAGAACAAGGAAGCCTGTTGACATCGGTTTAAAATGTGGGGAGCTGGGTAACGGAGAGTGATGAAGGAAGTGAGCTTGATTAGGATACAGTGTATACATGCATGGAAATGTCATAGTGAAACCCTCCTTGTACAACTAGTGTATGCTAATAAAAAATAAGCAAGAACAGTGCTGATGGCTCACATCTATCAGCCTAGCTACTTGAGAGGCTGAGAATGAATGAGAGGGCCTGGTTCAAGGGCAGCTGACATAAAGTTCACAAGACCTCTCCTTATCACAAAGCTGAGTGCAGTGACTTGAATCTGTCATCTTAAACTAGGTAGAAGGCTGAGATTGGCTGGATTGCAGTGCCACACCAGCCTACACAGAAGTCTCACAGAATGAGACTGTCTCATTCTGAATTCATGGCTGAATTCATGGCACGGTGCCCATGACCTGCACTGGCAGGAATGTCCATTTATCTCAGTTAACCACCAAAAAGCCAGAAATTGAACTGTGGCTCAATTGGTAGAGCACCAACCTTGAGTGCAAAAGCTAAAGGTCCTGAGTTCAAGCCCAACTACAACTACACACACACACACACACACACACACACACACACACACACACAAAGTCGCTGGATTGTGGCCAAGCATGTAGTTTAGTGGGAAGTAAGACCTCATCCTGAAAATAACCAGTGAGAAACAGGCCTAGAGGCATGGCTTAGTGGTAGAACTCCAAGCAAGAGGCCCTGAATTCAAACTACAGCACTGCCAAAAAAGAAAAGGAAGAAATAGTCTAAGTAAAAAAATAGATTAGTAAACAGCACAGTCTAGATTAAAAAATAGTATAGTTTTGGAGCCGTGATATAAAGTATCAATGGGAATGAAGGATTAGAAACAAATTTAAGAATAATTATAGATTAGTATTCTATACTGCAAGCAATTGTGTATATCCTGGGGAGGTGTTGGAGAAGAAGAATTCAAAGATAATTTTAGAGTTTGGAGACTTGGGATTTTTTTTTTCTGTGTGGGTGTGTGCTGGTGCTGGGGCTTGACTTTAGGGCCTGGGTCTTGTCCTTAAGCTTTCTTGTATTCTGCCACTTGTACCATAACTTCACTTCCAACTTTTTTCTGGTTAATTAGAGATCAGAGTCTCCTTGGCTTTCTTGACCCAGCTGGCTTCAAACTGCAATCCTTAGATCTCATCCTCCTGAGTAGTTAGCATTATAAGTGTGAGCCAGCTTGAAACATACTTTGTGTGTGTTAATACTTTTAAAAATATATACATTTATCTAATTTGGGGAGTGGAAGGGGAATAACAAAATTCTGAAACAAGAACACAAGATAACCCATTGCAACAATGATACTCACAAGACTATGTTGGGAATGGAGGAAGAAGAAAGAATTGTAGGAAAATACCAAAGGAGGCGGTACAGTGTTCCACAAGAAATGTAGTCATTAACTTACTTGTGTAACTGTAACCCCTGTGTACAGCATCTTTACAATCAAATAAAAATTTAAAAATTATTTTATTGATTATAAAGGTGAGGTACAGAGGAGTAACAGTTACACGAGTAGGGTAATGAATACAGTGTGGAACACTGTTACCCCCTCCCTCATTTTCTCACAACTCCCCTCCCCCTCAAGTTGCAAAGTTCATTTCCAACATAGTGTATTTTCAATCTCACTGTTGCATTGGTTCACCCTTTGTCCTTTGTCTCACCATTTTGTGATTCCTCTTCCCTTCCCCAAACCAGACAGATGTATATACAAGACACAGGGCACCAAAATAAAAACCAATGACAACAGCGGATAAGCCAAAGGGGGAAAATAATAAAAGAAAAAAAGAAATAACTACACACAGTACATTGAAAACAAAACAAAACAACAAAAACCCTCTTGTTTCTATATCTTGGAATTCATTTTGATTAGCATCATTTTATATGGTCATATGTATATAGCTATTGAGCTATTGTGGTCCTCTGCTAGGACTACCCTAGACAGATTCTAAAAGCTATGGAACACTTCATGAATTTACGTGTCATCCTTTGCACAGGGGCCATGCTAATCTTCTCTGTGTTGTTCCAATTTTAGTATGTGGGCTGCCAAAGCGAGTACTAAAACATACTTTTAATATGCTGTCTCCCTGCCAGATAGTATATCCAGTACTTAGAATGAATTGATGAATGAGCAGCTGTTTTTAGGGATCTTTAAAAACAGAATAGTGTACTAGGGTGAAATCATACGTTCTCTGATAGAGCAATATTGAGAAACAAACTAAATTTGACCAGGAAGTAAATTAACCATGGCTTCCTGGAGGTGTTACAGCTGAGAATTTTGAAGATAAAAAGAAAAAATGATAGACAAAAAGAGAAGGATTGTTAAATGGATGGGAATTCCATTCTATGGGAAGGTTTAAAGACATATTCAAAAAATAGTTTGCAGAGCTGTAAAGCAGGATGTATTTAGAGAATTCTGTGACACTGTCAGAAAAGTGAACAGAAGATGGATTCATGTGAGTCTCAGCTTTAAATAAGGACTCATAACTGCTTCCTGAAAGTTGTTGAGAACAAATGTAGGATTTTTATGCAAGAGGTTACCTTACATTTCATGAAGTTTATTTTGGTGTAAGGATATAAAATGAACTTGAGTAAGGCAAGATTGGAAGCAGAGAAATCTGTTAGATACTACAACTGCTATCTGGAGAAGTGGATAAAAGCTTAAATAAAGCTAGAAAAGAATAGATTGAAAGATCATTATTAAGAATGTGGCCAGTCTGGAATTTGTAGCCTGGTTGAAGAATATGTGGTTCAAATGTTTATGTGTTTACTTACATCAGTCACTTGGAAGACAGAAGTAAAGATTTGTTTTTCAGGAAAAGAAAGCCAGAAAACTGACAGATATTAACATTTTGACATTCTATAAGTAGAATTTTTTGGCAATTATTTCTTTTTTCTTTATTTTTCCTTTTGTTTAAGTAGAAATGTTTATTAGGTAACTTAGCTGACTTTTTTTAAAGCAAGAGATATAGATTTGGAATTTACTTATCAGATGATGCCAGAGGCATGCATACCCAACCAAAACGTGATGCTGAGGACTGAAGCTAGAGTTCTTGGGAAGACATTTAAGTGTGAACTCAAGGAACACATGGAAGAAAAGAGTAAAGATAGCAGTAATACCAGAGAAGAGCAATGTAATGAAAAGAGAAGAATTCAAAGGCAGAGGAAAGGTCAAGAGGGTCAAAGTTGCAAACAGGTAAACCAAGAATGTCAGAAACACTTTTAAAGCATTGCGGTTGGCATAAAGATATAATCACCAACCTTTGGCTTGAGCAGCTTCAGTAAAGCAATGGCAGGTCTGAATTTCTGATTGAATTGTGTCCAGCTGAGTTAGGAACTGAAGATGAAACTGCAGGCTGAGAACAGATCAAAAGTCTTGGGATCAAAGTTTGGATGTTGGCCCAAATGAACAGCATCGAGAGATTCCCAGAGACAGGATCATCCAGCTAACAAACAGGAGGCTTATGAAGATTCTTTTGAAATATGGCATGGTTTTTACCTGCCATGGTTCTACTCAGGACAGTTTAAAGGCATTTTGCAACTTCTGACACCACATTTTGGAGACATATTTTCTACTAACCTATCATTTCATGTCCAGTGGGCAAATCAGATATCCTGAGCAGTTACACGCAACTGCCCATCTGGCTTTAAGCAGGTGAGAACTCAGCAGCACAGTAAGGTTAAGTGTCTGTGCGAACAAGAGTTCTTCATCATACTACACAGGCCAGAAATCAATAAGTGCTTGACAGCCTGGTAAGCATCCTTTTGATGATGGATCCAGTGCCACTGCAAGTACTTAAATGCCTTAGCAATATTTGTCTTTTGTGAAAGAAAAACATGGTTGTATACTGGATGTCCTGAGAAGGCTTGATGCTTTTGCTTTGCTTTCTGGGGGCACAGTAAGATTCATGTACCACATTTTGAAGGATGCAAACCTAGCAATACTGGTGAAGAAGATATTCTTAGAAATTCTAATTTATTGAGAGATGGGCAGGAGACAAGGCTGCAGTGTGGAGATGTCTAGCTGTGTAGCCTGGTTTCTGATTATAGGCAGCATGCTTTCTTTTTTTTTTTGGTCGGCTGTGGGGCTTGAACTCTGGGCTTGGGCGCTGTCCCTCAGCTCTTCAGCTCAAGGCGAGCGCTCTATCACTTGAGCTACAGCGCCACTTCCGGTTTTCTGGTGGTTTATTGGAGATAGGAGTCTCACGGTCTCTCCTGCCCAGGCTGGCTTTGAACCGCGATCCTCAGATCTCAGCCTCCTGAGATTACAGGCGTGAGCCACCAGCGCCTGGCTCAGGCAGCATGCTTTCTAACTTGGTAAAAACCGCTCTGGAGTTAGAGCCAGCAGTCATACACAAACCTTCTTACCTACCTGTCCCCTTTAGTTACCTTCTTTCTGTGATCACTAATCTTCACCCCTGCTCATGGCTACATTCCTGAGTCCCTTCCATCTAGGAGCATTGTGTCTTCCAGTGAACCCAGAGCTGAATTTTGCCCTCCCTGTTGGATCACATCCTGTCTGTAACAAAGTTTTAGTCTGCTTCTGTTACTGTAACAAATAAATGGGATACATCAATTTTATAAAGGGGAAAGAAGGGTTGAGTTACCACCATTCACCTCAAGGTCATCATTCTAAACACCAGAAGTCCACCCCCACCATTAGGTCCTATGACTTAAGTTTCTACCAATTCCTAATAACCTCAACACATTGGCCTTTGGGATACAGGGATAAACTGTAGCATAGAGAGTATACTCATCTGCAGAAATAGATCTTGTTAATACATACTTAGGTAAAAGGTTTTGGTAGTACTGGTATTAGAACTCAGGGCCTGTGTTTGCCAGAGTGGTGCTCTATCACTTGAGCCATAAGTCAAGTCCTAGGGCTTGAACTCAGGGCCTGTGTACTGTCCCTAAGCCTCTTTGTGCTCAAGGCTAGCACTTTTCCACTTGAGCCATAGAGCCACTTCCAGCTTTTTCTGAGTAGTTTATTGGAGATAAGAGTCTCACAGACTTTCCTACCTGGGCTATCTTTAAACCACAATCCTCAGATCTCAGCTTCCTGAGAAGCAGAAGCCAGTGGCTGAACTGTGGATTTCTATATGGAATTGTGGTTACTTGGTGAAAACCCTTAACCAGAAAAACGTTTCTTTCTTTCTCTTTCTTTCTTTCTTTCTTTCTTTCTTTCTTTCTTTCTTTCTTTCTTTCTTTCTTTCTTTCTTTCTTTCTTTCTTTCTTTCTTTCTTTCTTTCTTTCTTTCTTTTCTTTTCTTTTTTTTTTTTGTTCTGGGCTGGTTTGATTTTTCCTCTATTAGCCACTAAGCTGTTTATCCTTTGCTCCTCTTCTGTGTGTCACATGTTATTTTTTTCCTCCCAAATCTTCTGTTCAATGATATAATTTTCTTTTTCTTTTTTTCCCTCCACAAGAATTTTGTTTATGGCCACAAAGACTTTCATAGCACTTGACCAAACTCAGAACTATTTATTACAAAAAGGCTAAAAGCTATACAAAAAAGCTAACCAGAATAAAGTCTTTATTTAAAAGGGGGGAAAAAGAGATCAAACCAAAAGATGGAATTCATTAACAAAATATAGAAATGAAAGCCAAATGACAGGATAAAAATACAGCTCAGAAATGTAAGAAACTTTGATTCTGTCCTTCGAACTTGCTGCTACTGGCCCTCTTTGTCAAGGATATAATTTTTTTTTGCTAACAGATTATTTGATTGTTTTCATTGACAATTGTAAAAAATGTTTATTTTATTTGTTAAAACATTGGTACTTACTTTCTTCTTGCTCCTGAAAAAGGCTAGTGATTGCCTTCCCGTTGTTCCATCAGTTTCAATCTCCATGGTTCTTGTGTTCATTTCTCCCAGGCAGCACTCTGTGTCCTGAGCTGAAATACATTTTCCTCACTGTGTCTTAAGTCCTAGACATAAGGCTGTGGAATGAGCAGGTGCATTTTTTTTCTAGCACTGTCTTGCCTGCTGCAATGTCTTTAGCAAGCCGCTTGATAGTGATATGCTTCAATGTTCTTATCTCTGCCATGGGATTGTTCCTGTAACTACCTTGTAGGTGGTGAGATGTTAAAGGGCCAGTGCTATACAAAGGGCCTAACACAGTACCACCACACAGTATGAGTTTTGGCATGTTCACTGGCTGAGTCCTAGACTGAATCTTTGTGCACTTCTCCCATCTATTTAGTGAAACTGAAATTCTTTGATACTTCCCATGTCATACTATCAAATCTCCTCTTTTCCTAGAGCAGCAGCCCAGAAGAAATTCCTTTTCAAATATTTCTATTCAAATATTTGTGCTGGTTATTGCTTCTCTGGACAAAGATTCTATATTTCTTTTGTTTTACTTTTTCCCAGAAGGTATATTTCACTTCTTTTACCCTTCTCTTTCTCTTTCTTCATAGTTTCTTGTCTTTCTTTTGAAAGAAATATCTGTCCTAGTGTTTTAATTTTCTGTTGTACAATAAATCACCACAAGCTCCATTTAAAATAGCACATCTTTATTGTGCTGGCTGCCAGTGCTCAGGAGTCAAGGCTTAACTGGTCTTCTGCTGAGGATCTCATAGGGCTGAACCAAGATGTTGCGTAGGCTGTTTTTAAATCTGGAGACTAGTCTGGGAAAATGTGCTTCAAAACTCATTCAGGTTGTTGGCAGAATTCATTTCCTTGAGGATGTATAACTGACAGCTCAGGCTTCATTCTGGCTGTTGCCATGGCTTCCTTAGCATCTTTTTTTTTCGCCTTTCCAGTTGTGGAACTTGAACTCAGGGCCTGGGTGCTGTCCCTGAGCTTTTCTGTTTAAGGCTAGCACTCTACCACTTGAGTCACAGTGCCACTTCTAGTTTTTTTTCCGAGTAGTTTATTGGAGATGAGAGTCTCACTGACTTTCCTGCCCAGACTTTGAACCGTGATCCTTGGATCTCAGCCTCCTGAGTAGCTAGGATTATAGGCATGAGCCACTATCACCTGGCTCTTAGTATCAGTCTTTGCTTTATCAAGATGACAAGGAGAATCTGTCATTCCAGTCTGCTAAGTTGTGACCTTAC